GGAGAGGGAGGCAGGCTAGCAAAAGGGAAAAGGATAGGAAACAGGAGATGGCAGTGGGAGAGGGATATTAAGAGAAAGGTATAATGATATACATAAAAATCTCATTATGAAATTATTTTGTATGTTAACTAAAAAGTTATTTTAAAGAACCAAGACAACAAAATATTCAGTGAGAAACAGAAAGTTAAAATGAACCATGCTGCATGATCTAAAGATAAATGTGTTACATGGTGAGAATGAAGATATGGTAAGATGTTTTTAAGACGAAATCTAAATAAAATAACCAAGAGACACCACAGAAAACAAAGCCTTAATAATGAGTATCAGTACTAACAAAAGGGGTTGTGGCCACTTGAAACCTCTTCCCACTCCGTGGCTCTAGTGCCTTAAGTTTAGGTTCCTGATCACACCTGGTCTGTCAGCAGGTAGGGACTATCAAGTGCTAATAGGTAGGAGGCTGGGTAGACACACAAAGAGAAAAACTAGCCAAATCATATTTGCATTAAAGCTAATTATTGTGTGTGTGCATGTGTGTGTGTGAGAGAGAGAGAGACAGAGAGAGAGAGACAGAGAGAGAGAGAGACAGAGAGAGAGACAGAGAGAGAGAGAGAGAATGCGTGGAGGACTGAGGACAACTCGTGGGAGTTTTTCTCTCTTTCCAGCATGTGGGTCCCAGATATCAAACTCAGGTCTTCAGGCTTGGTGGCAAGCCCTTCACTTGGGGAAACAATAATACAGTGTCCCAAATCACAGCTGAAACACAGAGGCCAGAGGACAATCTGCACAAGTTGGTTTTCTCCTTTCACGATGCAGGTCCTTGAGAATGAACTCAAGATCTTTATATTTGGCAGCAAGTGCCTTCCCCCACTGAACCACTGGCCCCTAAAAATGTTACATGTATGGGCATTTTACCTTCATGTATGTCTGTTAACCATGTGAGTGCAGTGCCTGCAGAGGGCAGAAGAGGGCATCAGATTTTCTGGAACTGGAGTCACAGACAGCTGTGAGCTCCCATGTGGATGCTGGGAACTGAATCTGGGCTCTCACCCATGCTCTTAATCTATGAACCATCTCTCCAGCCTACTCCTAACTTTAAGGGAAGTATAAGTAAGCACCTAATATTCAGGCATATAACCCAGACTCAGCATTAACTCCTGGACAAACTTACCTTACCTATAACTCTCATGTGGTTTGAATGTCAAATGTTCCACACGGGCTCACATGTTTGAATACTTGATCCTTACCTGAAGATGCCGTTTGAGAAAGTTGTGGAACCTTTAGGACATGGAGTTTTGCTGGAAGAAGTAAGTCACTGGGGCTGAGCCTTGAGGCTTTATAGCACAGCTACACTTCCTACAGACTCTGCTTTTTGAGTGCAGATACAGTGTGACCAGCCAGCCTCCTGCTCCTGCCACCATGCTGTCCTTATTGGCTGTCATGTCTTCCTAGCCACAACAGAATGCATGTCCCTGGAACTCTAAGCCAAAAGAAGCCCTTTCTCCCTTAGGTTGCTTTTGTCAAGGTATTTTATCACGGCAACAGCAAAGTAGTAAGACACTAGATGATCTTTATATTATTAAGTATATTCAAGATGTCAAATATTTCATCCTTAAATATTTCAATGTCACATGAACCTTAAAAACCCAGTGTCAGTCAGGTGTGGTTTGCACACACCTTTAATTGCAGGGCTCAAGAGGCAGAGGCAGATGGATCTCTGTGAGTTTAAGGCCACCTGGGCTACAGGAAATTGATGCAGCCCAGAGGACACTAGTTTAAGCTTGAGTACCCATGACAGCTCAAGACCCTCTGCAACCCCAGTTCCAGGGGTTTCAATGCCCTCTTCTGGCCTCTGCAGACATTGCAAACATACATACATACATACATACATACAGACATACATACAGGCAAAACACCCATCACTTAAAATAATAAAAAGGGGAAAAAAACAACTTAAAATTCCAACCCCAGTATTCTATTTTTCTATAGTTTAAAGAAACAAAACCTGAAAACTCACTAACATCCAGAAATAAAATTATGATGCCATTATCTAATCATTTCTACATAAAGTACAGGAGTTAATGCTTCAACAATTTGTCTGGTTTCATAATGACATCTGGTGGATTAAAAGTGCACTAGAAATGGTGGAAATAAAAACAACCATTGTCACAGGGTTGTGTGGACAAAAGTTCACAGGACCAAATCAGGAGGTCACCAGACATCCTTCACTAAGTCATCTTTTTCAAGGAAAAAGAATGAAAATGTATACAAACCTTTAACATTTCATAATACAAAGGCTCTTTATAACTGGATTTCTTGTCTTACCTCATTTCTCAGTTATTAAACTACCAACTAGAAAGACCTCATCACTTATTCTAGCATTACAGATCCCACACTTTTCACTGTTCCTATCTCAAAAAGTCTCCAGAATTTATCAATTTAGGTCCACATACCAATTCAAAATAAGCAGTTCAATTCCACCCTTTGCATAAATTCTCTCTGTACAATTTCCTTAGAGTTTTAAAATTTGGAGTTTCCACGGCACAACTTTTTTGGTCAAGCACATTAAATGTCTATATTACTTACTAGATTTGGGGTATAGGAGACTACAGTATATCTACTTGGAAATGTAAACCCATCAAGGGTCCTATTTCACATATTAGTATCCCCCTACAACACTTAACAAATATAATCTGTTCACTTACATGCTGACTGCGTGACAGGCCACACACTGTATTCTATAGAAAAAAATCCTTATTGCAATGAGATTTATAGTTATAATCATGATGGTAAAGACTGGATTTTCCTTCACTCTTATAATGTAACCAGTGTCTAGTTTAATAAATTCTTCATTTTTTTTTATAAAGGGACAATCTATGTGGTATCAAACTTTCTATTTTCCTGACCTGATTCCTGAAGACAAAGATTGTAAGTATTTATCACTATATCTGGCTCCTATTCATAAACTTTAAAAAAGAAAATTAAGATAATTATCAAAATGATTACTACAAATTACACAATGTCCCTGAACAAAGAAAAAAGTTTGAGGCAAAAGAAATTTCAAAACAAAATTCGAAGATGATAGCATGTGCCTTCTAACACTCTCTCTGCTTACACATGTAGCCCAATTCGATTATGACCAAGTACTGTGGAAGTGAGTAAATCCTGAGTGGATGTGTGCTGTTAACATGGAGCAGACATGTCAAGGACCCCAGCACCTTGGAAGTGGCAAAGCCTTCTTGGGTGAGGTTGAGACAGATGCTCCATATGCAGATATTGATAACGTGTGCAGAAAAAATTCAACATAGCTTTCCCCACTCCCCCCAGGCATTTATGGCTCCTTGATCCAGCTGTATACCATAATCCCTGCCTCCTCGATCCAGGTGTATACCATAATCCCTGCCTCCTTGATCCAGCTGTATACCATAATCCCTGCCTCCTTGATCCAGCTGTATACCATAATCCCCGCCTCCTTGATCCAGCTGTATACCATAATCCCCACCTCCTTGATCCAGCTGTATACCATATCCCTACCTCCTTGATCCAGCTGTATACCATATCCCTACCTCCTTGATCCAGCTGTGTACCATAATCCCTGCCCTCCTTGATCCAGCTGTATACCATAAGCCCGCCCTCCTTGATCCAGCTGTATACCATAAGCCCCGCCTCCTTGATCCAGCTGTATGCAATAACCTACCTCACTGTTGAACTCTACACAATAAACATGCTGAACTTTTGGCATATTGTAGCTTCTCCATCAAAGAGCCCAGCACATCTGATCCCAGCTGTACAGGTGCCCCTATATCTTGTCTTGTTGCCCCAGTTAGGTCAATCCCTGAACCTAAGTAAAACTTGGAAAAGTACATTATCTCAGGAAGTAGAATGCCTTTTATTTGCATGTGCTCATTGTTTAACACATTTTTTTTCTTTTCTTCTCACTCTCCCTAAATAAGTGTTTTAAAAGAGGATGAAGAACATTTCTTAAAGTAGAGGTAAGCAACACAGCAATAAAAGCTCAGGTAGCCCAGAAAGGAACTGACTGGATGGGGAGTATGCTGCTACTCACGGTGCTTTCAATTTTAATCATTAGATACATTTAAAAAGTCACTAAAGTTTTTCCAAGTATTCTGATATGCTAAGAATAGTAGATAATTTTACTATTAATTTAAAAAAGAAAAGAGAAACAAAAAATAATAAATGAAATACTTGTAACTATGTTGAATTCCTTAGCATCAAAGGTTAACATCAGTTCTGTCTGTAGCTACTAACTGGCAATAACATATAAAGAACATAATTTCAGTATCACTGGGAAACTCGATGTTCTTTGACTTAAGACTCTAATAAATTTTTAATTATACACTTTTAATACCTTTCTTTAGCTGGTTCTATAATGTCTTCTCAAAAAAGAATGTAACATATTATAATAAGGGAGATATGTATAATAAGGACCCAGCACTTGGGAGATAGAGGTTGTGGGTCTCAGGTTAGCCTGAGCTACACAGACATTATCAGCCAACCAGCCAATCAATCCATAAACAATTTTTTAAAAATGAAAATAAGCACTATCATACTAGTCCTCCCCCCAAAAAAAAGTGAAGTTGGGCTTGGAAGATAGCTCAGCAGGTAAAGAGTTTGCTGTGCAACTGTGAAGACCAGAGTTCAGATCCCAGAATCCACATAAAAATCCAGGTGAGCTGGTGTCCATGTATAAATCCCAGTATGTGAGAGGAAGAGATGGGGAACGGGACACCAGGTTCAGCGGGAGACCCTGCCTCAATATATAAGACAGAAAGTGAGTGAGAAGGAAAATTGATGTTAACGTCAAACCTATACATGTGCACACAGACACGTCTATACATACATAACCTACACATACACACAAGAAAAAAAATGAAATACAGTATATTAACTCGTCATCTCTATCTTACACCCTAAATATATCTATATGTTAGAGGACTGAGGGGAAGCATCACTAATATAGAATGAAATGTACCTGTACTTACAGCGTGAGCTTGTTGTTTAAACAACTGATTCTGATTCTCTCCGTCTTCTGTTGCATCCCCAAGCACCTGGGAAGGGGGGAACCTACAACTTCCAATAGCAGCGTTCAAATTGCTGGGGAAAACACTTGTCCTTTTAGGAGTTAAATGTGTCGGATCTGAACATTGCATGGCTATATAGCCTTCTTTTTCTGCCTACGCAAAGGAAACGGGGATAATGAGACTCTATTCCCTTCTAACACAAATAATCCCTCCCAGCAGCCATAAGATTTTCACCAAACCAACAGAGCAGGAAGCCTTAGCTGACAAGAGTAGCCAACATTTACCAGGCACCTCTCACGTGCTGATAATTTAACCAGACTATCCCACTAGCTCTCTACAATCCTGTAGGATTCAGTATCACATCATACTGTGAAGGCTAACTGTGGTTCTCAACTGGACTACGTCTGCAATCAAGGAAAACCCAAGCAACTGGGCACACCTGGGAGGGACTTCCTTGATCGGATGATTGAGGTGGGAAGACCCACCCTAATTCAGTCTAGGAATTCAAACTTAAATCTATACCCAAAATCCTGACATTCTTTTTCAAGTATTTAATGAAAGGGGGTAAAAAAGGCAAGTCAGAACAGAACAACACAGGAATAAAAACAGTTTCTCTACATGAAAACTGACTGGGCTCGTAGATAACTGGATTTTAACAACACAGAATCAAAGGAGAAGCGATCCTGATGGGGCCTCACAGCTTATCTCACAGCACACAAGCTTCCCACCCAAGCTAGCTCACTTAGGGACTCACTGCTTTGTAGGACTTCTGAAGGAGTTGCTTTTTCCTCAGCTTAACTTGCTGATTTACTCGGTGTTGGACTTGTCTCTGAAAATGTTTCAGAGATTCTTGTTTTCTTCGTTGCTGCTCCTTTATTTCCTCTTCAATCATGTATGCTGACGCCTTTGAAGAGAAAAGATAGAAAATGAACTTAAATGTCATCAGTTTTGACCATGAGGAATGCCATGAATACAGAAAAGGTAGTCCATAATTGTGAAGACCGAGTCTCCAGAGGAGCAAGGAAATCAGAGTTAAACCCACTGTCTAAGTGTAGCTAGCAAGTCCCAGGAGCTTAGAGCAAGTCAAGAGCTTTAAAAAATGGAATGTGTGAATATCATATCAAATCCTAATGTTTTATTCAATCAACTAAAATCAAAGATGTCTTCATTAATTCTTAATGAACTTGACCCCGTGTCATGGCTTCTAATATCAGTAGACAGTAGAAATACCATATTGCTCACCATTCACCAGACATGTTTCCAATGTATAGTGCCTTCATACTTAGAATTAGCCATCCGCTTTTTGGGTGGAAGGGAGTATGTCACTATTATAGCCCCAGCTAGTCTGCAGCCCACTACACAGTTAAAGCTGACCTCAACTTCCTTCCCTGTCCCAAGTGCCTTTCCCTCCATTTCTAATGTGGCTCTCCTTCCATCCATCTAGTAAAGGCCTTCCTATATGTCAAGATTATCCAGCAATTTCCTCTGAGCTCTTGTGCTATAGCACATTTCATTTTAATATGAATAAAATGTAGCACTAATTCTCCTACTACATTATGAATTCTGAGGGCAGGAAATGTTTAACACTCCTTTCTTTGGGTAATTTATATATGACGAAAATAATGCTTAAATTATATAAAATTGGTCTTCAAAAATGATATATCTTGGGGGCTGGAGAGATGGCTCAGCGGTTAAGAGCACTGGCTCCTCTTTCAGAGGATCTGGGTTCAATTCCCAGCACCCACATGGCAGCTCACAACTGTCTGTAACTCCAGTCCCAGGGAATCTGACACCTTTATACCAACTCACATGAAATAAAGTTAAATAAAATTATAAAAAAAAAAGAAAAAATGGTATATCTTAATGTAAATAATCAATTCTCGTGGTATTGACACTACCGTGTAGTCTTTTAACCCACACTGAATTTTATCTATCTATGTATAAACAACAGAATGAGGCAGAAATGTTAGGTCTATGACTTCCCCAACAAGGTCATTAAGTAACTTCTACTGAAGCTTTGGAAAGCTCACCATAGGGGAAAGCCAGTGCCACAAAAGAATTCTTACTGCTCTGAGACTCCCATGGTCAACGGAAACACAGCTAGTCAAACTAGCCAAATGACATGAAAGATATCCAGCCACCCCCAGATATTCTAGTCATCCTAGCCCAAATTACACACATGAAAAAGTCTTACTGAACACGATAGCCTGCAAAGACCCAAGAACTTTAAAGGCCAGAATCCATCAAGCTGTCCCAAATACATCCAGTTACTTAAGCCACTCAGCTGAGGCCCAGGACACCAAAGTAGATAAAGACACACAGTATTTCCTGCTTTATGCCACTATGTTTGCATGTGGCTTGTTATACAAGACAATGGGGGTGTAATATGCAAGAGAGATCTTATATAAGACCACAGTGATTTTTTTTCTCATAATAATTTAATTACCAAAGAGAAATGAAGTTCCAAGCTATGAGGTTTTTATGTACCCTCAAGATCCCTTGGAATGTAGAATAGGTTATGCCCTTATAGCAGCCAAGCAACTATTTACCCCATCTTTGAAATGACAGTGCTGTGCTTGTTTATAAGGATGGCTTCCCAGATTAAATATGCAGAAGTAATAAAGAGCTCTACCAAATGCTTGATCAAACTCCCTTTGACTGGAACTGATAACAGGATTATTTAAAAATAGGAAAGGAGACAATTTGTGTGTGTTTCAAGACTTTAAATATTCTGAATGCGTGAAAACTTAAAACTAAACTATTTTAAACAACAAAAAAAAGTATCATGGTAACAAATTTTGACCAGTGTGATACTACCGAGATTATAAAGGTGTCTTGGTAATTAAGAAGCAGCACTGGGCAAGTGAGAGAGCTCAGCAGGGAAAGGTTCTGACAAGCGGAGCTCCATCGCCAAGGCCCACATGGCTGGAGGAGAGAACCAATTTCCACATACACGAATAAATAGATGGAATTAAAGTGTATTGACTTCAATAACAAAAGAACTTTGTATCAATTTTTAATTATTGATTTCTATTTCACTCCCTATTACTAAAGAAATTCTGATGATATGCTTCATGTCTAAAGTGTTCTAATTTATTCTAATTTGTTCCCCTAAATCTAATCTCTCCCTAACCCTTATAACTTTGAGGCAATTAATCTAATTCAAACAGTTTGATCATGGAACATGTTTATAAATATTAAATAGTGAACAAAATCAATATTCCCCAAGACTTCCTATAGTTTGCCAATGCCCTGATTTTCAAATCCTGTCAAGTATTAAGTCTTCCACTCCAATCAATGCAACCCATCCTTATAATCCTGAACACTTCCTGCTTACTTTCTACTATCCTCAGTCACCCTGACAGGAGAATCATCTCATCTCTGCTTATCCAGATTGTTTTAAATTTTCATACCAATCAAGTCATATTTATTTGATTAAGCGAGACAGTCTTAGCACTTAATCAAATGCAATTCCACTCTTGAATTCCTTCCTGAAAGGTGACAAGCTAGGCATAAATCAATGAATATGTAACGATATACATGATGAACATAAATAAACTTACTATATTGCATTGCTATTAACATTAGTAACTGGGGGATTGATGACCTGGGTTTTGACTTGGCTCTTATTATATCTGACCTGGACCTCCCAAGCTGGCCTCAGATTCAGAGATCACCTGCTGCTGCTCCCGAGTGCAGGGATAAAAGGCATGTGCCACCATATCTAGCCATTTATAATTTTTATTATCTTTATCTTTTTGTGTATGGGTGTTTTGCCTCATGTATGTCTGTGCACCACATATCCGCAGTGTCCTCAAGGACCAGAAGGTTTAGATTCTCTGGAATTGGAGTTAAAGACAGATGCCTAATGGGTGCTGGGAATTCTGCAAGAGCAGCCATTACAGCGCTTTTATCTGCTGAGCCATCTCTCTAGTCCCACATTTATAATTTTCAAAATTTATTTTGTATGTTTGTGTATGTATGTGTGTGTGTGTAGACATGTGCATGCCATAGTCTGATCTCATGTGTGGAGATCAGAGGATTTTCAGAAGTTGGCTCTCTCTCTCTCCCTCCACCTGGTTTTGAGACAGGGTCTCTCTTTGCTCCAGGCTAGCTGGCCCACAAGCTTCTGCAAGATTCTCCAGTCTCTGGCTCCCATCTCAATACAGAAGTGTGGGGATTACAGATGTACCCATCCCATCTAGCTTGTACCTGGATTCCAGGACCAGAACCTCAGGTCATCAGGCTTGCACAAGTACCTGCTAAGCCATCTCCCGAACCCTCATATAATATTTAAATATGTCTTGTATCTCCTGTAAAATCAAGAGCACTAAGAATATATTTTTCACCCATGTTTAGTTCCTTGTCTACACTAAGAACATTGCAGATTTCCTGGATTCCATAAACACTTTCTGGGTATCTACATAAATTAGGCAATATTTATTTAATATAAAAACGAGTTGTGGAACATTTGTTCGCTATGCACAATAAAAGTTGAACAAAGAGCCAAGGGAGAGCCCGTTGAAACACTAAACAAAAACCTTGCAAAACCGCTCTCATGTGTTAGCATGATACTCATTCAAACATTTACATGTGGTAAACTTTTCGAAAGGGTGTCCCTTCATCTGAAACGCTTCCTCCTGTCTGCAGCAACTGCATTTCTGTTCTTTCAGGACCAACAAAGACCATATCTTCTCATTCAGTCAACAGATACGTCCTAAAAGGCCTACTTTACACCAGAAGAGGAAGGAACGAAAAGTCTTCCTGTCCTTGAGGAATTTACAACTTTCTCTGTATTTCTCTTCTATTTTCTTACTTCATTTTGCCCTGATCTTCATTTAAAAACTTATAAACTTTGAGCAGCTAATTAACATTTAAAGTGTGACCAACGGTCATTCATATCATGTTACAGAGTGTCTGCAAGATGTACACAGCAAACAATCAAGTTTGTGAAATAAACTATTTACTGGTCCACGAATTATGTTCTGTATGGTGAGTAATAAGTAATGAAATAGTACTTGATTATGCCAACAAAAGATGGAAAATACGTCATTATTGTATAATCCTTACACAAGAATATAACCTGTAACAGAATAGAAACAGCATTCTTCTGCTGTTCATCTCTAAGCACCAACAATTAGAGAAGTCTACTAAAAAAAAAAAAAAAAAAAAAAAAGGTGGCAGGGATCTCTGTACCTGGGTCAACTGACACTCACATGTGCGGGGATTTCCGTGCAATTTGGTGAGGCAGGTTCCACCCATGCCCCAACTGGTATTATGGCCTGGTTCCTCTCAGCCAGCACTGCCAAAACGTCCTTACTCTTCGTGGGGTTTAAAGCCAGGGGTAATTTTGTGGGATTCCGAGGCTTCTTGAGGGGCGCCATACCTCCTGGCATCTGACTTCTGTTTAGGAGAAAAGAGAGGGTCAAGAAATAAAGACGGGGGGGGAAATGGTTTGAAAATTACTTTCCGGGAGGAATGGAAATGAAGGGAAGGAGAAACGAGGATTGGTTTGGGAGACGGAAAACTGCTCAGAGTTGAGCATAGGTGGGCGGTGGGGACAGGACTTGGGTCTGAGAGGATGCCCCACGGCAGCGAGAAGCGCGGCCCCACCGAAGCCGGTGCAGGAGGGCGGGGAACCTGTGAAGCTCGAGCAGAAGCGCGGGCAGTGACAGGGGACCCTGGGAAGCCTGGAGCCCGCCGCGACCCGGACCTCCTCACACTCAAACTCCGCGGGCAGCTACGGAGAGCCAGGACAACAAACCGCCACTCCGCGTCGGACGCTTGCCCTGCCCCTTCCGGCTTCGCGTCATCCCTCCGGGCAGGGAAGGTGCGAGGGGCGGGGATCCGGGCACTTGGGGGGGGTGGTCCGTCACTTCCGCTTCCTGCCCTTTGGATGGGAGGGCTAGAGCAGGTCGGGGAAATCGAGTTTAGGTTCCGCCTCTGCGTGTAGTCATCTCGATTTTATTTTCATTTTTATTTTTTTGGTTCTTTTGAGACAGGTTTTTTTCTGTGTAGTCCTGGCTGTTCTGGAAATCTCTTTGTTGACCGGGCTGGCCTCGAGCTCAGAGGTCTGCAGGTCTCTGCCTACCAAGTGCTGGGACTAAAGGCGTGTGCCATCACAGCCTGGTTTGTCATATCCTAATCTGTAAGAGGGATGTCTGGCATGATGTGCGGGCGGGCAAGGGTACGCAGTGAAAGAAAGCACCTAAAAGGTGATTCTCAACCTGTTGGTCATGACCCCATTTGGTTGCATATCAGATATCCTTTATATCCGATATTTACATTACAATTGGCAGCAGTGGCAAAATTGCATTTCTGAAGTAGCAGTTAATAAATTTTATGGTTAAGGTCACTACAACATGAGAAACTGTATTGAAGGGTTGCGGCATTAGGAAGGTTGAAAACCACTGGTGTAGAACATCCTGCCAGAGCATCCTCAAAATACAGATTAAACCAATAGATAGTAAAGCACAGTGCTCCTTTATGTCATTCTTAAGGTTTACAACGCAGTTTCACGATTATCCTCAACATGGTCTTGTGTGCAACCTAGTGAGTGGTCTCCAAACACTGCTTGGGCATTTCATTAAACCTGAGAGATAAAAACTGTGTGTGTGTGTGTGTGTGTGTGTGTGTGTGTGTGTGTGTGTGTGTGTTAAAGGTTAAACTTTGGGCCTCTTGTCTGGCATGCTAGACAAGTGCTGCAGCAAAATCCCCAACCCCCTTTACACTTTTGCTTTTGGTTTAGGGTCCACTAAAGTGCCCATGCTGAACTGGAACTCATTGCGTAGGCCAGAACTCGAACTTGCAATCCTCCTGCCTTAGCCTTCCCAGTGGCTGATGTTACAGGCATGTGCCACCAAGCTTCTCTTCAACATATATTCTTGTTTGGGAGATTTACTGTACAGTGAAGGGACATAGACAGGACAGAAGACACTTGAGGTTATTCCTTGTGTTCTGTTTTTATTTCTGCTTTACACAGTACTGGAGTAAGCCCAGGGCCCCATACAAGCTAGTTAAAAACTATCCTCCGCCAGCTTATTTTTAAAAACTAAAGCACTTTCAAGCAAAGACTATATGAGATCATGGAACAAGCCATAGTAAGTTTCAAGGGAGAGTTTTAGGTATCTAATTGATTGTCTGATAGGTTTTAATGGGATCTCTGATGTAGTTCAGGCTCCTCCTGCCTCAGCATCCTAAGGGCTGGAATAATAGGCATACAGCATCATTGAACTGAGGTATAAGAATATTCCAGGTAGGAGCTGAAGAGATGGATGGCTCAGTGGTTAAGACTGCTTCCTGCTCTTCCAGACAACCAAAGTTTAGATCCTGGCACCCATGTGCTGACAACCTCCTATAACTCCAGCTCCAGGAATCCAGTGTTCTCTTCTGGCCTCCGTAGGTGCCTACACACACACACACACACACACACACACACACACACGAATTTTCCAGGTAGAGAGTGAGCATCGGTGTGGGAGCACTGACTGAGTATGCCTAGAAGAGGGTGAAAGGAGAGGAACTGAGATAAGATGACAAATCACATAGAGCATGTTGAGCAGTACACTGTGCTGGGATAGGGCACCATTACAGGATTGTGCGCTACTGAGGGCCAATTTGTCTTGATTTTTTTTTTTAAAAAAAATCATCATTCTATATGTGATATTGAGAATTAAACAGGAGTGACAAAAAGGGACAAAAGGCTAGTTAAGAGGCCATTGCAATAGCTCCATTAGCAATTTATGATGTCTTTGCCCCTGGTGCGGAGGTATGAATGGTGAGAAAAGTTGTGAGACTCCGAGTGTATTTGGGAAGCAAGATTTTTGAGGACCCATTGAATGTTTAGCTGGAAATCTGGTGTTGTGGGTGAGCAGTCAAGGAAAACTGGGGTTTCCTCTTGAGTCTACAGATGGGATTGCTTTTTCCTGAGATGGTGAAGATAGTGAAGGAGTGGAGTTGGGGTGGGAGAAGATCAGGAGCTGAGAATAAAATTTCACTTACATACTCAACATCCAAGAACATAGTGGGATAAAAGTGCCTGGAGGAGAGTTCTGAACTGAAAGGGTAAATCTGAGAGTTATTAGCCTATAGATTCAAATTCATGACTCACTGGTCAATGAGTATAGACAGACTGGGATTGTCATGGAATTCCACGACTGGAAAGGATGAGGATGCTCTAAAGAAACATTTGTGTCCCTAACTATGGCTGTCTGGACTGTTGGAACAAAGCAGCCCCCAAGGAATTGGATTTTGCCACAAGAATCTCATGATTGGGGAAGGAAAAGGCTGACATCCGGTGCCAGCTATCAGGGAACCTGATTCCCCAAAATCAGAGAGATTTCACAGAGTGCTAATAACTTGTCAGACCACCCTGCAGGAGACAGGACCTGAGTGCATAACCATACCTTGATCAGGGTTGCTTAATGATACCTTCTGTTTAAACTTTATCCTCATGTTTGGACTGCTGGAAGATGGACCCCTTTCTTTCTCTTTCCAATGTAATCACATTGAATAAATCACTTTCTGCTTTTCTTTTTGTTTGTTTGTTGTTTGGTTTTTAGTTTTTTGAGACAGGGTTTCTCTGTGTAGCCCTAGTTGTCCTGTAACTAGCTCTGTAAACCAGGCTGGTCTCTGCCTCCTGGATGCTGGGATTAAAGGCATATACCCCCACTGCCTAGCCATTTTCTGCTTATCACTTTTAATATGGTTCTTTTAATTGCCTAATCAAGGACATGTGGCCAAGACCAGCTTGTTAGGGCAGCTAAGGCATGGTCTCTGATCCCTAACTCTTGAAATAAGAAAATAAGTCTTAGCCGGGTGGTGGTGGTGGTGGTGCACGCCTTTAATCCCAGCACTTGGGAGGCAGAGGCAAGTGGATCTCTGTGACTTCGAGGCCAGCCTGGTGCACAATAACTAGTTCCAGGACAGGCTACAAAGCTACAGAGAAACCCTGTCTCGAAGAGAGAGAGAGAGAGAGAGAGAGAGAGAGAGAGAGAGAGAGAGAGAGAGAGAGAGAGAGAGAGAGAGAGAGGAGAAAATAAGTCTTCCTGGATATCTGACGCCCTCTGCTCACCTCTGTGAGTTCCAGGCACACACATAGTGAACAAATGTGCATGTAGGCAAAACAACTATATTCATTAAGTGAAATTAAACGAAGAATAAGAACATTGGAGAAATTATCCAGGAGAAAACTGAAATCACAAAAAAAATATTACAAAAAACAGATTGGCCATTGCCAGGAATAACAATCTTTGAGGCACTTCAGAAAAATATCTGCAAAGCGGTAGATGGATATAAGTTGGAAAACAGTAAATGTTATAGTCAGATGATACAAGATTTAAAATTAGAGATGAGGTTAAGAAAAAAGGGTTGGTTAGAAATAGCACTGAATAGCAGGACAGAATTCATCCTGCCTCCACCCATCTGAATAATAGACAGAACACAATCACTACTTGGGGACAAAGAGATTAAGTTGCGCTTGTGTGCGTGTGTGCACATACACTATAAAAAGGTATTGTTAGATCGCTTCTTGTCCTCTCCAGACCTTTACTTCAAATTCTTTATTTTCCACTAAAAGCTAGGCCAAATGTTTTCTAAGAGTCCATACTCATAAATCCAGAGAATTCACACCAGAGATTCATCTCCTTTTCTGACCTTTTCTGCAAAGCTTATATTCGCCTGGTTGAGATTGGTTGCTCAGCAAGGGAACTGTTGACTTTGAAAAAAGTCCATCCTCAAAAGTTTAAAATACCAAGTGTTGCTGGAAACAGAGTGTGGAGTCCCATCTCTGGAGCAGCCCTCAGCAGAGTTGGGCAATCCTTTTTCTGCGGCTGGGAATCCCTGATCATGTCTGCACAAAGCCCCAAGTCTCTGCATTCTTGGCAGCCATCCACCTAACACAGAACCAATTGTTTTGTTGAAGACCAGGGAGTGGTTTGTTATTTGCTCACTACTCTCCTGATTGTGACTAGCTGAACCATACTTGTAACAATATAGAAAACTTTGTTACATGTTAAGTCCTCAGAGCCTATGCCAAGGAGAAGCTCTGTAACAGTAACAAACCTTCTGGCCCAACGCCTCGAGAAACAGAGTCTTAGGACCCCAACCCTGGGCAGCTGAGTCATACCCACTTTGATCTCCTCTCCAAGTTGGAGCAGGATTTCCCATAGCTAGCCAATGCTCTGGCGAATGTCCTAAAAGCAGACCATAGTGCTATCCATCTCTGGTCTTCTTCCTCCCTCACCATCTCAAAGGTAACTTTTCTAACTAGAAGATATAGAAGGGTTCTTCTGCTTGCTGGGCAGATTGGGTTTTTGCACTAGCATTTCAGTGTAAATGGCACCACAAATGGCACCTGATTTTTCTCAACAGCATCTGCTACAGTGCAAAAGTTTTGCAAAAGACTCTCTAATTTTACCATGGATAAAGAGTCTTTTTGTCTTTCTTCTTGGTGTGTGGTTAAAAAGAAGATGAGGAGGAGGAGGAGAAGGAGAAGGAGGGAGGGAGGAGGAGGAGAAGGAGGAAGGGAGGAGGAGGAGAGGAGGAAGAGGAGAAGAAGAAGAAGAAGAAGAAGAAGAAGAACAACAACAACAACAACAAAGGGGTCACAACAACAACATAGGGGTCTCAGTGTCTTTCAACATTTCCAAATATATATCTAGGACAGACAAGAAATAAAAAGCCCATATCCTTGTCCAGGAAAGATTTGTCACATTTTGAGAGTATTGTAATTCCTTTAACTGTTTTCTCCTCAACCTCTCCCTCTGATGATGTGAGGTGTGGAG